AATTATGCACGAGATTACTGGCGATGCTTATATAAGGGGAGGAAGAAAAGCTCCCGAAGATTCCGGCTCGCCCGAATCTTCATGATTATATGTGTGTGCACATTTACCATAATTTGGACCAGGCGATCGGCGCGGTGATGCGGCGCTGGCGCAGCCATGTTTGTATCCGCTGGGAAAGTCCGGAGATGCCACGGATTTCCGATCCATCTGCCGAGACCCACGCTCTGCTCTGAATAACGAGCTCCTGACTCAAACCAAGCTCATTAGACGTCATTTAGCCCACACTGTTTTCTCTCGAAGTTATTCCGCGCTGGCCGCTGAGCGAGAAAGTCCGCTTACAGAAGTTCATACCTCAATGATGATTCGTATCGAGTGATTATTCCAGAGCTCGCTTCGCCAGTTTACGCTCATTCAAATTCCCTTCGGTCGCTCTATTATCGGGCTCCACTCCAAAGAACACGTAAGGAAGCCGTCTCGAATCTCAATGTTTGGCAGCCGACGAAGCACTCGCCCAAGACATTTGCTGTCGACTCCCGCTGAGCAAAGAAATGAGCACGAATCAGTACTTAAGCAGTTTCGAGTCTAATCCCTCCCCATAGTGTTCATGATGTATGTGAGGCTGCTTTGCTTGTTGACGATTGAGGGAGTTTCTCTTCAGCGGTGAGTGTGTATTGCTCGTCGATTGGATTGCGGCGATTCCAGGAGATGCTTTTAAGGTACAGTCTGCCCAAGAATGTCTCCTGCAGAGCATTCAAAAATCATTTCTCGTCCTGCAGTGGTCCCGGCTTCGTCCCCGGAGGACCGGTGAGTGAGCGGAGCTTCCCAAGCTCATTTTTCCGAACTTGGAGCGATATTCGGGCTGAAGTCGCAGGGCCGGCTACGCTGATTATAGATATACGGCGACTCGATGTGATGCGAGTCGAAGCTCTCCCGGATATCTCCAATGACGAGACGCTCTTGATGCTGAAGTCTATATACATCTGTTGCAATAAGAGATCCTGCCAGTAGTTACCCAAAGAGAGTCTCGAAGAACGAGATAGGGGAAAAACTTGGGTATATCTGGGAATACGCGCTACATGAGCGATCGTGTCGAGTAATCATCGAGAATCATTGATAACAAGTACCGATCAATCCCGTCCGTTCATGACAGGTCGGAGCCAGAGGCAAAGCGGGTATGGTTGGAATGCAGAAGGCCGGTATGGTGGCAGGTGGAGCTGATAGGGTGAGTTGATGTGGATGACTTGTCAGAGAGAAAAGAGAGAGAGAGGGATTTCTCTGGGGCTCCTCATGAATATCCATTTTCCAGATGATGATCAACGGGGGACCCCCTGTCATGGGACGAGTAGGGGTTGTGCAAGGCCCTATTATTGGAGGAGGGATGATGCAGGGTGGAGGCGGCGGTCAAATGGTACATAGCGAGGCTCCGGCGAGGTGTCGATGTTTCACTTCTCCTTCTACAATATCGCGGGATATTCCAATTTTCGTCCTCTTTCGCAGATGATGGCCAATGGAGGACGCATGGCTGGCGGTGGTTCTATGGGCGGAGGTGCGACCGTGATCCGAAGAGGAGGCATGCAAGGAGGAGGAGGAGGGATGTTCGAACAGAACGTGAGTGTCTGCCCCCGATGGAAAACCTCCCAAACTGGGATTCGCTGGCTAATCCTTTTTCTCATCGTCTCCTTTTTGCATGAAACTTTCTATCGAAGCAGATGGCGTTCGCCAGCCAGGGCCACGGCAGAGCGATGGGGGGCTCATCGAATGAACAAGTTATCACCAGGGAGAAAGTTATCCGCTATTACTCCGCAGGAGTCGGCGGAAATGCCGCAGGAGGTATACTGCCACGAACGATTGTATATTCGTCGCAACGCGAAATATCCAGGCATTGGAACACAGTGACCAATTTTTCTGTCTGTCCATAGGAGGAGGGAACAAAACGGTAGTCCACAAAGGGCAGACTACGCACCACCAAGCCGCCGGTGGGAGTAAAGGGAGCAGTAAAAACAAAACGATCAAGACTGAGTCTTCTGGTTTCGTGGCCTACACTTCGGACGAAAATATCAATGTGGGCGAGATCAAAATAACCACTACAAAACGACCGGTGGTGAAGAAGACCGCAACGATGGCACAGCAGAAGGAAGTCAGGATGGAGGCTCAACAAGAAGAGCATCACGAAGAGCACACGATTGTTACAGGTTCCGTGGACCACAAAACAAAATGGAATGCCCCGAGCTTCGAGTTCAACCACCAAGTTGCGCATTCTACGACGACAACAACAACTACTACGACGACGACCACCACGACAGCGGCTCCCTACAGGACGCTGTCGTTCGGGGAATCAGATTTCAAATTCGACCACGAGAAGAAATCGAGCTCCCAGTCACTCAGCTTGGACCTACCCACATTCACAAAAGAGGAGAAGAAATCTTCTCTCAATCTGGACCTACCTTCCCTGGGCAGGAGCGACCACAGAACGGCATCCTTTGATTTCAATGCACCGAAAATAGGCACAGTCGAAACCAAGTCGGCCTCACCATCCCTTGGCTTGGATCTAGGTGCTCTTGGCAAGCAGTCGGCGGCGCTGGATTTACCGAAATTGAACGCGCAAGGGAGTCTAGCTGGTGGCAAGTTGGACTTACCCGATCTTAACATGAAAATCAACAATGCAGGCTCGCTCGATCTGTCAGGCAAGCTGAAGGCGCCGACACTCCATGCGAGCAATTCCAAGGGAGGTTTGCTCTCCAGACTCTGAGGCGATTTAGAGAAGCTCGGTAAGGACGAGTCTGCTGCTATGAAGGGCATGATGAAACCAAAGAGGGAGTCGTACGGCGATAGAGATGATAAGCGTGTGAATACATGATATTTGTTCTCGAAGTGCAAACACTGTCAATTTGAAACACGATCTCAAATATAAATAGATTGTTAATTTCGAGCATACGATCCCAAATTCCATCATGTGCAGCAGCGAATCGACTTCGAAAATCCTATAATGATACGGAAGAGGACTTCCCCCAAAGGCAATTATTCGATCGAGCTACTTAGGGTTCTCACGGGGTACTTTCCACCGACAGTGAGTCCCGTAATAATTATTCTAGAGTCACCTCTGGATTCTGTAACACAGTACAGCCCGCTAATTGAGACCGCGGCGAGACCGACTCTGCCCGGCCCGGATACGCGCAAGGGTCCAATTATTAGTCGGACCGAACTCAGCTGGGAAACATGTTTTGGTCCGAAAAAGCGGTCGGTCCGATTGAGAGGACTCCACTGACTGAGCGGAATGCCCTGTAAACTCAGCGGCGTAGCGAAACGATGTGTCTCCCGTTGCGGATCCTGCGGATGGCGCCGACCCCACCATTCCGAACCGATTTGGTAGTACGATGGGAAATGGTTGAGAATCAAAGGTACTCGACCGATCGCTCAATGGAATTCTCGTCGGATATCGCCGATTCCCCGCTCGATTTCGTCGAGACATGCTGCGAATGGGCCAGAATCAGCAGAACTCGCAGGCCAGACTAAGATGAAATCACCGCTCTCGCAACTACCCGATCGTGAGCTTCTCTGTCGGCAAGTTGGGTTTCTGCATGGAAATCGTCCAGTAACGGAAAGGGGATCAGCTACCTTTCCACAACTCTTCAGCGTAGAGCAAGAGCCAATATTCGAATGAGTCAACACTGGGTGCGTCCACGGGGGGCGTGTGAGCGGTCGGACTCTAATTCGTTGTCGGCTCCGGATGCTCCCTAGACTCAGGACGAACTCGAGAGGTTCCAATAATTCTGTTCTCAACCTAGGCCAGCCTCAGTTCACTCTCGGCTGTGATCTGGCCAAGCCTCGAGGTCATGCGAGCACGCGCAACGAGCCCGAGATTCTCGAGCCGACTGACAGCTATTCGCCCGGGCGAGAAATCGAGTCGACGAGGCGAATATCGATTCGATCGACGACTTCCGGTGTCCTGGATATCGACGCTTTTAATTTTCGGCGTACTGGGTTTCGGCGTACTGGGTTTCGGCTCTTTTGATTTTCGGCGTACTGGGTTTCGGCTTTCTTGACTTTCGGCGTGATGGGTTTCGGCTTTCTGGGTTTCGGCGTGAAGGTTTCGGCTTACTGGGACCTAACCGTCGCTGGAGCTCAAATTCTGAAATCAGGGAACTTCCATACACAGAGCATGGGGCCGCGGATTGAGCTCAAATTCAAAAATCAGGGAACTTCCATACACAGAGCATTGGGCCACGGATTGAGCTCGAATTCAGAAATCAGGGAACTTCCATACACAGAGCATGGAGCGGAATCGAGGAATTGAGCGTCTCGGAATCGTAGCCCTGTCAGTTCAGGTTCAGAGTAGAATCGCGCGCGCGAGGCGCTGCTTGAAGCAGGATGGGTCATCCGGGCACTGTGCGGGGAGTGCGAGGCCTATGCTCGGTACAGGTCCATCCTACGCACTTTCCGTTCCCGCGGGACGTTCACGATCCTTGTCATCAGGATATACCGACTTTCTCGACTCGAAGGTAGATATGAGAATCATCATGAGGGATCATCATTGGGATGATTATGGGCATTCGGTGAATTCGTCGTTTGCAAGAAGTCAAACCGTCAAACGCATTATTTTTTCAAGTCGGATCTCTTCCGATCGCAAGTTGCGGCAGATAGATCTTAAGATATACAGATAACGGCCGCCGGTCGCCGTTAAAAAATCTCTCCGCTCATTTCTACTTCATCTTACTGTCGCATAAAGTACGCGCCCTCGATATCTCCACCACACCGACCAGTACCCGAAGCCCAAGGCTCGGAATTCCTCTCCGAGCCTGCAACACCCGTTATTCTCGGTGAGGAACACCCCGTTTTTTTCATGGCGGGGTTCAAAGCCTCAGAAGAATGTCTTCCGCGCCTTTCAGCCAGACTCCGCTCACTCGCTCGGCCACAGGCGAGAGACGGAGCTGCGAGGAGGCTTCTATCGCGAGGCTTCTATGCTTTCGGTTCGGCACACGAGCAGCTCTCTATTGTTGTTCTGAAGGCGCGCGATGACACCAGGCAGTTGTTCAAGACTCGGAATCAAGGAATGAAATTCTTATGACAGCGAGCCGGCTTTTAGAGTGTGAAAGAAGTCATTCCAGGGTTTTCCCAATCGAGACGACAGCTGCAGGAAGGCGTACTTGGTAGCCTGGCGTGCTCGTCGCGTTGTAATAGTGAGGAGTCCCGGAGTTATCTCCAGCTGATCTCGGGTCCTGGTGATGAAGATGTTGCTGGCCGAGTATGAAGCTATTGCGGCTCGACACAGCCAGTTACCTGTTCGGAAAAGTCTAGACGTGCTGTTGAAAGAGTTCGCGCACGTCCCCGGTCATGTACTACGGTCGATTGTGAGTGGCTGCTTCGTTCGATGGGTTAGAAAGAACCACCATCGGTTTTCTTCGGTGACGGTGAGTAAAACCTGCGGAGAATCTCCGGACTCTCGACTAAGTGAATCGAACGACTTGAAATCAAAAAATTTGGAGTCCCACAAGTCGTCCCTCGACCTAATTGTCATTGTCTTCCAGAGCAGAGCGATGTACTACGGACATTTCAAGGAAAGGAGTAAATCTCCGCGGCCGGGATTCCTTCTCGAAATGGCGGATCAGATGAAGTTTTCTCCCTCGCTCCTCTGTCGTCTGATACTGGAGAACTATCTGACGGAAATAGGTGAGCTTACTCTTTCCTGCTGCCTCAGGAAGGGACGAGTCGCTCCCTTCGGACCTTCCGCTCGCGACGAGTACTTGACGGCCGCTTTCTGTTCCAGGAGACCCCCAGGGGAAAAAACGGATTACAAATCTACTCAAAGATTCGTCGCTTATAAGGGACAAAGTTTTGGCGTTCGAAGTTTTCTACTGTACCATCAACGATCCCTTCTATGGACCGTATAATGATGCCAAGAAAGAAATATCAGGTGAGTGAAGTTGAGGGAGTCCACATTGCTTCCTTGCTCGGATTTCTCGTCGGACATTCGTCACCATCTATGCTCATCTCCCCATCCAGGTCAGGAGAACGAAATTCGACTGAAGGATTTCTTGAGAGAGAAGAATATTGCCTTCCTGGACGAGAATGACCTTCGCGACCAAGGATTCGATAAAACCGTCGACGTCAAGCTCTCAGTTCCAGCCGTGATCAATGGTGAGTTCCGATGACATTCGTGCCAGCATTCAAGCTTGTTACGGTTCCGAAGACTGAGAGCGGAATCGCTCCACACTCTAAAACGATGCCCACACATCCATCAACAGGTGAAAACATCATAATGTGGATCGAGTCGAAGTCGGCTTTCGGAGACCCGAAAACACATGCGGAGTGCACCAGGGAGCAATATCATTCATACGTGAATCGTTTCGGTCCCGGGCTCGTCATCTACTGGAGTGGCTTCGTTGATGAGCTCCAACATTGTCCAGAAAATCAAATCGGGAATTCAATCGTGTACCTGGCAGATTCTCCTCCTGAAGATATCCGCTCTATGATCGATTTGGTCTGAATGGAAGGCTTCGCATCGTGCATTGACAGGCAAGGACGCATCCTCAAGGCGGCACCCGGAGGCGATTCACTCGGAAAAAACGTAGATTTTTCAATGATCGGAAGAGTTAGCGTCCCCCTGAAACCGAGGCCCGAGGCATGGGTCCCGCCGGCCTATCTCTCCGAAATAAGCCGCCGTTGACAAAATCGATGGATGCGCAAATCTATGATGATGATTCGCCGGGAGCCCTCGTGTTCGGGGGATTGGAAAGCTCGGAATCCGAGGCAGCTGAGCTCCCGTATCAGGACCGTTTCCCCATCGCTTTCCGGTCACATTTCTTCCCTACACAGAGGCAGATGATGCATTCCTTCAAACGCACAGTGATCGAGGAATTTGACGAGATGAGTCGCGCTCTCTCGCGAGAAACGAGGAGGTACTCTTGCCTGGATAAATGTGTCCGACTTGGACCATGAAGCCCATCAAACAGCAGAGGTTTTTCGTCTGATGGAGATGAATGGCATCGAACGCCAAGGCAAAAGTAACGTGGCTCGTCTCATCTGATGCACAAGGACACCTCTTCTCTAGGAGAAGAATACGTCTCATATTCCGACAGGTGTTTCGAGCCGGAGCTTACGCTGAGGTGCGAGTCTCAGCCCGACGGGAAGTCTATCCCTACATTGGTCATGTGTCATGAAAGACCGCAATGTGAAGTTTGGAAGTATTTTTCCGTACATCATATCAGAGCTAATCAGTCGGAACTGAGCGTTCGCACGGAGAGAGGGAATGCACATCAAGAGACGTTCGTACGGTGCAAATAAAATACAGCAATTTTTATTCATACCAATGTCAGTTGGATCCATTCGCACTCATGAGGTTCCTTCGATCATCCTCTGTGGCGGAGGACTTCTTTCTTATTGTGTTTTCCTCGACGCGCATCATAGTTTCGCAGTCGATTCGTTCTTACACAATTCCATCTCAGTCATACGCCTCAATCGTCTCAACGATCTCCTTCGTCAAGGAGGATCCTGGAGTCATCATCATCGACGCTGTATTCCCATCGTCTTCCACCAATCTACGAGAATATCCGTCTGAAATCCGTATATGTATACAACAGATATTGATGTGAGCTCGACAGAAAGTTTGTCTACAGATGTCTCTCTCGTCGTACGGACTACTCTCCAAGGACGCTTTTTCTCTTATGTTCGTCTGTCTTTCTCCTTACTAAAATCATGCCTGCATTATGAAGGACGTCGCCCATTTCTCGGTCTAAGCACATTTACAATTTCGCGAAGTCTTCCGCTGGATTCGTCCGTTCCGAGCCAGAATTACAAATGACAAACGTCGTGAGATACGGACTGTAAAATCTCCCTCTGAACATAATGCTCCCTCATTAAAAGTGGGAGAGCCGGTTTTACGCCGAGCAATCGGTCGTAGTTTTGCTTGTTCGGTTTCCCGCAGTTGGCGGAGCTTCACCCGTCGAGCGGAGGACCGACTGAGGGAAGCGATGCACAGACCTCTCGGCGCGTTCCAAGTTATGGTTCCCGTAATTGAGGTACGCAGGTCAGTGAGATGCGATTGAGCTCCATCATCATCCTCGATACAACGTATTCTTATGTAGGTAGTCAGTCGACTTGTCCGAAGTCTTCCCACGCGTCTTCTTCTTCCTCCTTACCTAATTACGCCTGATCGAGAGAACTCGCTTGTTGCGCGTGTTCCAACGAGCTCGAAAATCTTCGCAACAACTCTCGGTGTCGAAGGATCGATTCCAGCGGATGGCTGTATCTTGTAACTGTCAATCGTTCCGTCATCGCCGCTGATGTCTTGGCCGAATTGAGGTCTCTGAGGGAATTCGAGTTGCTCGTAGTTTCCCGAAGCCTCGATTCGCCATGATGAGAATATTCTCCGCGAATCTTCTCGTGTGGACACATTCGAGGCATATCTGTCGGCGACGATGACGGCAATGACGAGGCCTAATGAAACTCAAGTAAGGTATGTCCCGTTCGTCCTCTGCTAGAATCTACTCTGTGCTCTGAGCGCGGCTGCCGGCCTTACATCGTCTCTAAAATAATGAACGACATCGAACGCGACGTACTCAATTGTTACGTACATACATGATCATCAGCTGTAACATTCTATGGACTCCAATGACATGGGTCGCTCGCCTAATGCTCGATGTCCATTCCATCTACGAATCTCTGTTTACGCTTTCTCCTATCTTTCTCGATGCTTAACGTTCGACTTCCGTCAGGTTCGAGGTTCTTTCTCCACTCGTCTCCAGGTCGATCGTTGCCAAGCGCATCTCTCAACGATGACCTGTCACAACGAGACTTCGGACAGCTCTAGCAGCCTCCTGGTGGCAGGCTTAGGCGTCGAGAAATCGACGTTGGAGAGGCATTTTAAGTTCGACGAATATCGACCACGGCTGTCGTAAGGCGGATCTCGTCACAGTTGGCAAGTTAGAAGATGTTCATGTCAGATGATTGGCTTGGCGGGTTTCGAAGGTTGCGGGTGGGGTGGGGGGTTGTAAAGAGATCTCTACATAGCACTGGGGTACACGTAGGAAGACGCGGGCAGTCAGTACGGGGACTAAAGCAGCGGCAAGACATAGGAGATGCGACGTCTAGAGCAAATCGGTCTGGAACAGAAAACGCAAACGATACTGAGCTGTCTCGGCATGAAACATCAATCTAGAGAACTGAAGCGAACGACTGAACTTCGTCTATAGAGGACTCAGCCTCCCGAGCGTAGGAGACCAAAGCAAGAATGGACAGAAAGGGGATGAGAGGCACCCCTACCAACAGTCCGTCCGGTTGAGACAAGAAACTCATGTTCGAACCAAGGATCATCGAATGAGAGAAGCGGGGACTATTGAGAATTCTCAGGAGGCTTCCAGGGATTTGATGATAAAATCAATTCACCGCAGAGTGCGGATAACTTTCGGGAAGAAAGTCAAAGGCCCGCAGGGATTTTCATTCTACTCGGATCAGGGATGCTGTCGAATAGGACAATAAGAGGCACGGTTGTGTAAGAGCGGAAGAGAGGACAAAAGTGGATATCAACTCTTTTTTCTCGTGAGCCCATTTTTCGCGGCAAGCAGCGGCACTTCGGTCGCCGCTGCGCGCTTCAGAGCCCGAGCTCGGTCGTTCGATCCAACATCACTCATCATACGCTCAGTCCTTATTGTCTATGTCTGTTTGTTTGCTTGGTTATGTTTGTTTGCTCATTATGAATTAGACAGTTACAGTAATTTTCTTAAGCCGATTGATTTCCACTTGTAGAGTCATCCTCTGCTTCTTCTCCTCGTCCACCTCGGCCATGAGATCGCGCACCATCTTCGAATAGTGCGCCCTGTTCGACTCCATCGTCTCCTGCAGTGTCTTCATCTGTTCGAAGGTGAGAAAAAAAGTAGAGTCAGACAACATCTGGAATCTCCCGATGGAATCAGGATCATTTAGCATGAGATTTCGCTTGGTGAATAGGAATGATAGCTTCGCTCCCGTGTGTTCGAAATCTATGAGGTCACCTGTGACACTAGATCAGAGGTTCCCAAACTGGGTTCCGCGGAACCCAGCTGCTCTTTGCGCAAATCGGGGTTCCGCGACGAGGTTCTGCTTCCATATGTACGGTCATATACGGGCCCTAGGTGTCGTAGCCCTGTGGGCAAATTCTCTTCCTGATTCCAAATGTCTTCCTGAATACGAAGGGGATCGTTCTAATTGGCGCATCGATCGGCATCGAATGCACACTGCGAAGGTCGTTGCACACGGCACGTTCCCATTAGATGAGCATTCCTAATTTACGCAAGAATTGACTTAAGCAATAAACATTCGGGTCTGCTCCGGAACAAACGCGTGTTTTCTCCTCTTATAGCTGAAAGGAAAGAGCAATTGACAGGACTTTGAATTTTTTGAAAAATGAGGACGGGTTCCACGGAACAGTAGGGGTTTCGCGAAGGGTTCCGCGGAAGAAAAAGTTTGGGAACCTCTGCACTAGATTGTTGAACTCCTCCTCGGACACACTGTGTTCACGTAGCCTCTTGACTTCAGCACGCAGCTCCAAGATTTCCGCCTCCAACTTCTGCGAGATCTCGCTTCGTGCAGATGGGCCTTCGTTTGTCTTGGCATCTACGTCTACATTGAGTAGGAAACGGAAAAGTTATTACGGGAATTTCGTCCGTTCAGTAGAGGGAGATATTGATTCATACGAGAAGGGTTTATGATTTAGCACAATGTTGGACTTCGTTGCCCCGTGCGGTATCAAATATCAACGGAATCACTCACCGTCTTTGCTTAGACTACTCGCGGATAGTTTGCTTCCGTTCGAGAAAGGTCCGCCAACGAGGTTGATCACCTGGGGTACAGGCCCGACGTTGGCTTCGTCAAACTTTGAGGTGAGGTCTTTGATAGATGTTCTCTTGCCGTCCTCGTGTTGGCCGTTGTTG